TTATTAATAGGGTCCCCTGCCAAAATAGGATGAAGACGATTTTCTAACAGTTCGAACGTACTAGGCAACATTCTATAATGTTCACGGAATTGTTTTGTATTAAATCTTGGGACTGTCTCTTCTACATAACCTTCAATTCGTATAGCTTTTCTCAATGGGCCACGTAGCCTTAGATGGGCTTCCAATAAAAATGCCTCGACCAACTCTTCCTCTTCATCACTATTTTCCAATGTTTCACTGAATATTGATCTGAACAGTTGTTCAGTCACATTAATGGCCATAAGCACAATGATATTTTTTTCGTAATCCATCTTTTTCCTTTCTTTTTATTCCTTGCCACCATATTTTAACCCAAATGACAACCCGAACCGTTCAGAGCCACCTGTTACTCGGAGTGAATCAGCCGAGTTAGAATCGAAACTCTAGATAACTCAACCCTGGGTCGTCAGGTTGGGAATCTGAACACACCCTAGTGTGCCCTCGGTGAAGCTGCCAATTCCGCGGGCCGGACAAAATCTTTCGTTAAAACATTCGCATAATTAGATGCGAAAGCGAAAACGAAAGCGAAAGTCTAAAATGATGAGAAAGCGAATATTCGTTACATCCCTAATAAATATCATTCAACTTACAAAATAACGTTTAAATTTATAATTTCAAATTGTAATAATCTCACAATTATAATTAAAAGTAATGAACAATACAAAATTTTGTAAAATATTTATTTACGAAATATTTTAATTTATTTTTCGGGGAGGGGGCGCAGCCTCCCCCGAACACCCCCTGCTTCCTGCGCACCATCCCACTCGCTTCACTCGTGCAACTTTACATTCGCACTCGCTTTGCTCGTGCGACTTGGATCTGTGAAGCTGGCACGGCATTCTATCGATATCAAAAAAATGACAACAGTTCCAGTAGCACTTTTCATAGTTCTACAGTTCTACCTAAAAATAAAAAATAGTTCCGCAGTTTTAATATGAAAAAACTAAAATTGAAAATATGGCGTGCTAACTTCGCGAATCTGGCACGACAATTTTCCTCTAAAGTATGA